CATTTCCTTTATTACAGTCTGCTTAATTCAGAATGTCTTATATCCCACTCTATTAAACACATTCTAGTCTCTGCAGGAGTATCCTGTGTGTGATTAAAGTTACATTTACAGAGCAGGAGATACATTTAACATGTCAAAACTTTAAAAGAAAGTCACATCTGAATAAAAGTGAAACCATTTTTTTCCATGCGGGTTGTGTCAGTCACAGCCAGGGGAGGTGTGGCTAGAGCTGCATAAACAGAAACAAAGTGATTTAACTCCTAAATGGCTGATAATTAAGCAGTGAGACTTCAATGGCATGATCAATGCACCAAAACTACTTAATTAAGCTAAAGCTGATTTGATGCCTATAGTGTCCCTTTAAAGACAAAAAGCATCACATATTCTAATAGAAAGACAGTATGTAATAAAATTAATAAAGTAACACATTTCCCTACATTGTATAAATTGCTAACTAACCCTAACATTTACTTTTAACCAAAATCTGCAGAAATGTAAGATTTTGTTAATCTGTACAGTGAGGCATGTTTTATTCTCCATTATAAACAATCTCTGTAAACGTACAGTTAACCAGTATCCATTAACGCCCAGGATTTACTGTGTATTTTATGGAGAGATAATTTGCTGCTGTTGCAAAATTTGTCTAATGTAAAAGTATTTAATTAGGGAAAAGCTTAGCTAAGGCACATAAAGTACAAACTTTCCAATATCTGCACTTAAAAGCACAAGTGTCCTGCAGGCACTTTCACGATCAAAATATCGAAGTCATATCAGGAAAGACAATTAGACAACGTTCTTTAAGACTTGAATAAAATCCCCGTCGTGTTCAACAAAACAAATCGTGTGCCCAATCATAATCATTTGTTTTAAAGCGAGAGTTGCCTAAAGCCTATGGACATAAATTATAAATAGTTAAAAAGAAATCTCAAGTGTATTTTTTTTAATTTGAGGTCATGTATCATCATCATTGAGCACAAATAATATAGATGTGTTTTAATACATATGTACGTTCGGTACTATAACTACTTCATATCAAAGAATTGATTATGGTGTCTGGAACCATCCTTTCATTCAATTTCTAACCATTTGAATGGTCCCCACTGTACTGATCTTTCCTCATTAGCCTGAGAAGCAATGGGGTAGTGATTGACTTAGGGTGGAAGCTGCTTGCTCTCAGCTTATCATAGCACCCACTGCTGGTAGTAATTAGAATAGCTAAGGAGGATTGCAGTCTCTACCTGAGCCATACTTCCAGTGTAGCCTAGGCTGTGTGCAGCCCGGGACGTTCTTTCTATTTTACAATGTTCGAACAGAGCTTAACAGTGAATGGTGCCTGGGATTCCAGGCAGTGTATGCAATTAAACTGCGTGTCCTCTTTACTAATTGATTTGAATATAGTTTCCCAGGCCATGTCATCTCAATAAAGTGGTCTGAGTGCAGTGGCCTTGCTGTATTGGTCCTGCAGTGTTACCATTGCAGTTCAGGAGATATACAAGGCATATATACTCCTTCAATGGCTGTTTTCCTGACCACCTCTAGAGGGTGCTTCCACATCCACAACTGAGTCAGACTATGTTTCCTGAAGTCCAGCTTCTGCGAATGAGGACATCAAACATTGAATGAGGACATCAAACGTCCTCTGATGATTCTCATAGAAATGGTTGGACTCAATGCTTCTCTATTAAATGTATTTGTTAGAGCAATGTGGTACTTGCCGAGCCTGTGCTTCTGTCCCACAATGCTTCTCTTTGAGAACATTGGATTAGACGAGAAGTAGCCATTGAGAAAAGATAAAACAGGTTGCCGAGCGGACGGCTGCAGTGCCTGAATATCCGTCCATGAAAAATGGCAAGTAAATGGTTTATCGTATTTTAAATATAAAAGTTTTGGCTGATCACATACGTTCCGATGATTTATTTAATTTAAAAAATGAATGTAATTGGTTACATTATAGTTTCCCTTTAAGTCACCTGTCTCGGATGCTTTAGCCATGCCTGACCTCGAGGCTTTCCATTTACATCTCAGTTTAAATCATTGAAACGTCTCTATGTAGTGTTCGTGTAGTTTTGCACACAGTCTATGCATTATGGGCTGTTGTACTTTTTCCTACGTGTCCTGTGTTTGAATTATCATTACAAGAGTTAGAGGCTGAATGACTGGCTATGTCAAGTTCTAGTAATGATGTGTTATATATCCATTTTCTCCTCGCTGGACTCAAAGCTCATTAGGACACCCTCCCAGGTCTAACCAGAGCCAGATGTATTTCTTATTTTATTTAACAATAATTGTGTTATTAGAAAGAGGAAAGTTGGAGCCAGCCTTGAGAGGGAATTATTCTGCTAACCCCGAGGTTTGCCTAGGTATAAAATAAATTATCTGTCCACCTTGAGAAGGCTAAATACAACTCATTCATACTAGATCCAGCAAATAAGCTGACACAATATTAGATTTAGAGTTATATTAACCCAACACTAGGGAATGCTGGTTCAAAGCTGGACATTGAGTGTGATTGGCTGGGCTCGCAGCTGCTATACCCCACATGATGCACACTGCATCACACACTGCACCTCACACTGCATCTCACCTCACACTGCGTCTCACACTGCATCTCACACCTCACCTCACACTGCGTCTTACACTGCACCTCACAATGCATCTCACACTGCACCTCGCACTGTATTTCACACTGCACCTCACACTGCACCTCACACTCCATCTTACACTCCATATCATACTGCACCTCGCACTGTATTTCACACTGCACCTCACACTGCACCTCACACTTCATTTCACACTGCACCTCACACTGCACCTCACACTCCATATCACACTGCACCTCACACTCCATCTCACACTCCATCTCACACTCCATCTCACACTCCACCTCACACTGCATCTTACACTCCATCTCATACTGCACCTCACACTGTATTTCACACTGCGTCTCACACTCCATCTCACACTGCACCTCACACTGCACCTCACACTGCACCTCACACTCCATAGCATACTGCACCTCACATTGTATTTCACACTGCACCTCACACTCCACCTCACACTGTATTTAACACTGCGCCTCACACTGCGCCTCACACTGCGTCTCACACTGCGTCTCACACTGTATTTAACACTGCACCTCACACTCCATATCATACTGCACCTCACACTGTATTTCGCACTCACCTCGCACTGCACCTCGCACTGCACCTCGCACTGCACCTCGCACTATATATCACACTGCATCTCACACTGCATCTCACACTGCACCTCGCACTATATATCACAGTATATATATATCACTCTCCACCTCACACTGCACCTCACACTGCACCTCACACTGCACCTCACACTGCATTTAACACTGCATTTAACACTGCACCTCACACTGCATCTCACACTGCATCTCACACTGCATCTCACACTCCATATCATACTGCACCTCACACTGTATTTCACACTGCATCTCACACTGCATCTCACACTGCACCTCGCACTGCACCTTACTATGCATCTCACACTATATCTCACACTGCATTTTACACTCTATTTCACACTGCATCTCACACTGCTATTATACTATATCTCACACTGCATCGTACACTGCATTTTACACTATAGCTCACACTGCATCTTACACTCCATCTCACACTATATATATAACACTGTACCTCACACTATATCTCTCACACCATCTCACACTACACCTCACACTGCATCTTACACTCCTTCTCACACTGCATCTTGCACTGCATCTCACACTATATATATAACACTGCACATCACACTACATCTTCCACTGCATCTCACACTATATCTCACACTGCATCTTACACACCATTTTACATTATACCTTACACTGCATCTTACACTCCAGCTCATACTGCATCTTAAACTATATCTCACACTATATATAACACTGCACATCACATTATAGCTCACACTGCATCTTACACTACACCTTCCACTGCACCTCACACTCCATCTCACACTGCATATCACACTGCATCTCACTATATATATATATATATATATAACACTGCACATCACACTACACCTCCCACTGCATCTTACACACCATTTTACCTTACACTGCATCTTACACTCCAGCTCACACTGCATCTTAAACTATCTCACACTGTATCTCACACTATATATAACACTGCACCTCACACTCCATCTCACACTGCATCTTACACTACACCTCACACTGCACCTCACACTATATATAACACTGCACATCAGATCATATCTCACACTGCATCTTACACTACACCTCCCACTGCACCTCACACTCCATCTCACACTGCATCTCACACTCACCCTCACACTGCATCTCACACTGCATCTCACACTGGGAATATATGTTGCCATAGGACTTGAAATGTCCCTTTCATAGTTTGCACAAAATTTAAGAAACCTTTTTTAAACTGATTTAAAATTGGAATTTGAGACAAATATTCTTTAAAAAAGTTCTTGGAAAAGTCATTTTAGGCAAGAGACACGAGGAGTGGGAGAATTAGGGAGAATAAAGAGGGTAATCATGGCTGTAAACGTATGCAGACATTTTTCTTCATGTGATTTCCGCAGAGTGCAAACCATTTAAACATTTTTTCTTTTTTTATCAAATGAATGTGAACAATCTTCTAATTGTAAAAACGAGCAATTCAATTCAAAACCACTTGCTATCAATGCCAAGTCTAACAGCTAAATATCTCAGCCCAGACAAAAGTTATTTCAGTTGAAAATGTGATTTTCTCACTAAACAGCAGGTTAAATGAGATCTAATGCATTTTATACCATTTTACTTTATGTACAATAAGTGAGTATAGGTAATTGACTATAGTTTGAAGGTGATTACATAAGGAATGAAGATCCCTGTACGTGTTCCACCCACTGCTGCCATTTGCCTTAGAACCCACAAAGTATTCATTTTAATGTCAGAGAGCCCACGGTTCTGCAAACTGTCGATATAACCATTCAAACTAAATGAGTAGCTCGTCTTCTGCTGGACATTTCATACCTAGTTCGGAATGTAAAGTGAATAAGAAAAGTTAGTTAAAAATAGTGCTGCTTCAGTTTAAAGGGACACGCCAAGCATGTTATACGCCAATTTAATTTAACTTACCTTTTTTTACATACAACGTGTCATTTTACTTTTATGTAAACACTAGACTTGTGCGCAGCGAGAACATTTGTCTCAGTCAAACCATTTTGGTCCAGAAATATTTTTTTTTCAGTCTGCCTAAATGTTTGTTCAGCTAAGAACTTAGATTGGAAAACGGGCCAATCAATGTGCTGCAACATATATACATAATATAATAGTACAAAAATACAAATGTTGTTGCACTCACTGCGTATTCCACTGCTGGCCTGGTGCTAATCAGCAAAAACATAGAAAGGTAAAGTAGATAGCACTCCTCGGTCTTTCTTGTAAGTAAAAAATAGCTTTTATTGCTCCAAATTAAAAGATCAACGTTTCAGTCTGCTGCTGCAAACTTTCACCAGGACATAATATAATAGTACATTATATTGTGCAGGACGTTGATAGGAGCATTGGATCACAGATAAAGTAAAAAAAAGGTAACGGGAAAATCAGAGGAGCTACAATGGAATGTATTGAATTACAAATATTATATAGCAATATGTATAGAAAGGGATTTTTGGGTCCTTTACTGCTCCTCATTTTGCTCACTTTTCTCGCGATCTGTGAATAGAACCGAAATGTAGTGACTGTCCCCTAGCCAGCAGTCATCTTTTTAGCGTCACGTGCAGAATTCAGAGTTGCGACGCCAAGCTGGACATGTTTGTCATTGCGCAGTTCAGTTGGTCTATAGTGCAGATATTTTTTGGCTCGAAGTTCTGTGAATTCAGCCGATCACCCAATGCCAATTGCAGTTCAGCCTGAAATGAATCTCCAAGTCTAGTTAACACTATAACAATTATTTTGTCAGAAATTGAGCCCTGTACACATCTCTCAAAGGGTTAACACACGCCTGACACTAATGTTAGTAAACTGAAGAAAGGGGAGCTGATGGCGAAAACTGGAAATTTGGAAAACACATTAGAGTAGAAACCTGATTTATTGAATTATAAGCTAAAATCTCATTAAAGCTCTACCCTCTGAGTAAATAACTACTTGTGCCACTCCAAACCCCTTGGGTTCACATTGAACGCAATTGCTAATTGTTGCTTTCATTGAAAGAGACCTCGCTTATTATATGCGCTGTTTCTGCTTCTGTGCCTCGGTTTCTATTAAAAATAATAGTTATCATAATATACACTGCGTTAAAGTAAACAAAATCCACTCAACAAGACAGCATTGCTTATTTCAATGCACAATTAACAATAAAATACACAAAGCACCATGGAATAGTGTAATATCTATGTTTGTCTGTTTGTACCCGAGATACACACAGCCTTATTACACTTTATTTAATTGTGCAGACATCAAACAAGTAATGCAAATTGTAAATAGATTCATTTAATAATAATTCTGCTCTTTGTTCTGTTAATGGGAGATTTAAGCTCATTATGTACTAACATTGCTGCATAGGAATGATAGATAGATAGAATATATACATGGATGGATAGATAGATAGATGGCTGATAGATAGATTGTCTTGGTGTTATCTTTGATCCTGGTCTCACCTTTGCCCCACATATCCAGTATGTTGCTAAAACCTGTTGATTCCACCTTAAAAATATTGCCCGCATCCGTCCCTTTCTCACGCAAGATGCTGCCAAGAGCTTGTTCATGCTCTGGTAATCTCTCACATTAATACTGTAATTCTCTCCTAGTTGGTCTTCCCAAAAGCTGAACTGCCCCTCTACAATCGGTAATGAATGCTGCTGCCAGGCTGATCTTTCTCACCCGTCGTTCCTCCCATACCTCACCCCGCTGTCGATCCTTACACTGGCTTTCTGTATCATATAGGTGTCAATTCTAAATACTAACCCTTACCTATAAAGCTCTAACCAACTCTTGCCTCTCTTACATTTCTTCCCTGATTCATAGATATGCCCCTTCCACTACGCTCTGCCAGTGACCTTCTCCTGTCCGCTACTCGCACCCTTGCTGCTAACTCGCGCCTGCAGGACTTCTCGCTGGTGGCTCCCTTTTTCTGGAACAGCCTGCCTACCGCCATCAGACTCTCCCCTAGTCTTCAATTGTTGAAGAAGTCCCTCAAAAAACACATCTATTCAGAAATGCTTATGGACTCCCAGAGTAACTTATCTATACTTACTTTGTGGCTGTCACCCTTGCTGCCTTGTTGTGTATTTGTACCCCACCTCATCTAGACTGAAAGCATGTTTGAGCAGGGTCCTCGTCAACCCATTCTTCCTGTGTGACTGTGAAATTGTCTCATGTATTGTACATTTCCCCCTTTCATAATATTGTAAAGTGCTGCGGAATTAGTTGGCGCTACATAAATACCAATAATAATAATAATAATAATTATAATAACAGATAGAAACAGACAGACAAGCAGGAAAATTGTCATAAAAAGCCAGAATCCCAGTTGAAAAATCAATGAATGCACTAACCAGGAAATTATAGTTTTATTTTTTTAGAAAACTCCAAAATAATGCCTATTAAGGAAATGGACCATGAAATGCACCTTATAAATTGAAACTATAAAATCGATTGTAACTATAATGGATCATCATTTATATACATTGCAACAATGTTGCTTGATTACACTAAACACCTCTTTCCTCAGTATCAGTCCCTGCTGGGCCTCCATTTTGGTAGCCTTGCTAATGAGCGTATAACCGGCTGTCCTATGGACATAAAAATCACGAAGAGGTGAAGGAAGTGACACAGGGAGTGCTAGAGGGTCCAGGTGGTTTAAGAGCTGCTCCCACTGCCGAGTGATGCTGGAGAATCGTAATGTCTCCATGACCTAAACAGACCAGAATGTATCCAGTGGCTGCTTCCATTACCAGCGTGTCAATTACTGCCGTCCTTCCAAATATATGGTTGGTAAATTCTCTTTTTGTCACCAGGAAATCTGTACCATTTCTCCAAGATGGTCACTATAAGTGCCAATAGCAGCCATTAATTGCATTTTCTCGTTCAACAGGTCACTTTTAGAACAAAAAATTTGAGGTATACGGGTATATATATATAAATATTTAATGTCAAATTAAACCGGAGATCGCTCCCCGCACAACACCTCCCTAATGAGGACAAAGAGGCGCACCCAGCCACAGCACACCACTGCCTTGTGCCCCATCCACCTCTGCATTGCGCCCTGCACACAGTGTCCTGGCTCAGGCCACTCTGTTTGAAGGACAGGTTGAAAAATCAACTCCCCCCCCCCTCCCCCTGCAGATGCCCATGATCCTGCAGGTACATTCAGTCCCAAATTTCAATATAACTGGTACTTTGAGAATCCTCAGAATCCTATAGTTTCCATAGGAGGTGGATCCTCAAGGTGATTGCTGTAGATTTGCACAGACTGACCAAATTCTCACCACATTTGGCTTTAGTAAATATGAGAATTGCCAATGTGGTTGGAATCCATTTGGACAAAATCCAGTGTTTAATGAATAACCTTCCATATGTTATATTCCGTTTAACACTGAGACTCCGCCGATGTACTCAGAAATCTGCATCTACTTATAATTGAAGTCAGGAAATGGCAGGAAAACTTTTGTTGTCTAAACATTAAGAAAACACCAATAAATCTGGTTGAACAGAGCAATGTATCACAGGTGCTCGTGCTTTTCAGGAGAACGGCTCTTACAAATAATGTATTGATTTCAGCGAGCAAGTTATGGTTATGTGAAATCCAATTTGTTAGAACGTGCAGATTTGAATTAGGTAATGCATCACAAATGTAGCAGCTAGCTACTAAAAAGAAAAACAATAAAAAAAAAACAAGACAAAAATAGTTTAATTGAATTCACACACATTCCAAAAAAGATCAAATGTAACACTTAGTGATGGTCAAAGCAACAGTCAAAGACTAGGGATCTCAACGGAGTGTTTAGAGTGTGCGAATATAAGCGGTATGGGTGTGGAGGTCCTACTAATAGTTTCCAAGATTGTATTAATTTACTTCTGCCAGCATCTCGGGGACACGGCCCCCAAATAATAAGCCAACATATTTGCTGAGGAATGGTCAGCTACACGTGTTAAAATTAAGCAAAACCTAATCAACAGAGTCAGGGGTCATAGACTTTAGTTTTGTAATTACCTCCAGCTTTGCTCATGTTTATAAAAACCCTTCCATTAAGGTTAATAAAGCATGTTGTTATGCCAGTTTGAAATTAGTTGTGGTTCCAGCAAGTGTTCCACTTTGTTAGAATTACTTACTGTACCAGAAATTAAGAGGTGGTTAGCATAATAATGTCTTTGGTCAGAGTAACCCTTA